TCAATATTTCCTTTCCAGATTAGAGTAAATCATGTGGATGCACATTATTGTTCAGCTGCTTGGCGGTACATGCGTGAGTTTGCAATTACCCACAGAGATATGACAACATTGGTCAGCATGGACGACAAGCACAAATGTAAGGTTGGGGAGCCCTTGTATCCATTGGCAGCAGCTGAAAGAGGGAAGCAGGTTATCGTTGGAGCTAACCAGGTGATGGCTGTTGGGGACCATGACTTCAGCAAATGTACTTTGACTCCATCAGTTAACTTGGTGGTGAGTTGCTAATGTATAAAACAAGTAGATGCATTATCTATTGTCTGTTCAGTTATTAAAAAAGATGGCCAGAAAATATCACAATGTGGTAGAACTTACCATTTCGAGATGTTCTTACCATGATGTGACATTATCTGTGCATCAACATCTGACCAGACAACAACAAAAAATGGATCTATTTTGTAAATATTTTACAGATTGATATTCCTCAAACAATATCTGGTAGCTTCTACAGGGGCGATTTTTATGTTGGGTTCAAGGATTCAATATTAAAGCCTTCTTCCCCATTGCGCCACACAACTGAACTGGCAGAAATTCTGAAGCTAAGAGGAAGTAGGTTCTATATGTGGAAATAAATTATGTTTTTGCATGATATGCTTTTAAGTTCTATTGCAATTCTTTGTTATGGTTTTAAATTAATTCACAGGTAACTAGTCCAACAAGGCAACAAACAATGGCCAGTGTAATTTAGTATAGTCTGTTTAAGAGTCATTTAAGAGTCTATTTTACTGTAGCTGTCCATCCTGTCCTACTGCTATACACTGATGGAGGGCCTGATCACCGAACCACGTACATGTCGGTGAAACTGTCCATGATAGCATTGTTCAGGTCTCTGGACCTTGATATGTTGGTTGCCTTAAGGACAGCTCCCAGTAACTCGTGGGCAAATCCTGTAGAGAGAATAATGAGTATTGTGAATACTGGTCTACAAGGTATTGGCCTTATGCGTCAGAAAATGGGTGACAACTTTGAAAAAGCAATAGGTGTGTAGATGTTTCACATTTGTACAACAAAAATTATCACAACAGATATTTTTTTCTAACCAATCAAATATTTTAATATATTTCAGCTAATGCGAAAAGTGTCAAAGAGATGAGGGAAAAGTTGGCAACGGATGACCTCAAGAAAGAGCTAGGTGAATCGTTGTCATTTCCAATTGATCTTCTCAACAGCCAGATGAACAGATTAAGTCTGAAGGAAAAGAAGTTCCAGACCTTTACTCCAGCTTCAGAAGAAGAGATCAACACGCTGTGGCAAAAATGCCTGGAAATTGAGAAAGGGTTACAGGTATACAGTAGTAGTAGGGGTGGAACATAAAAAAATTACCTGAATGAATACTGTGTGAGGTTTGTCATTTGTTTATACTTTTTTCACATTTATGTGTAGCGCGACCATTTAACCATGAAGGATGTAAAGGACTTTGAACACCTTAAAGCTTTCCTCAAGCACTGCTGCATTGAGGGACATATTGCTTCCAGGTGAAGAAGTGTGGTAATGATAACTGCAAAATCTGCAGGTACTGTATGAAGAATATCGAAATTCTATACATATGAATGTACAGTATAATACATTTGAATCTTTCAATATAACAATGTATAACAAATAAACAATAAACATTACAGGTACAGTGTATGTTGTTGGCCCGTTGCACAAATAATTGTATAAAATTGAGCTAGTTGATTATAAGTGTAACCAATTTTAGACCGTTACGGGACAAACGGAGCAAAGATGTGAGTTCCTTACCTTTCCCAGTTCCAGCTGGTGATGGTCATTATCGCCCGTTTGAGGAAGTCTACAAGACCATCACTGAAGAGGTATTTTAAGTATTTCTATAGAGTACCGGTATACCAACTATTATGTAATATTAATCATACATTCATGTTGAATTATTTGTTTCTTTGTAATAGAACCGGCCAAGTAAAGTAACAAGACCCAAGACTACCAGGGCAAACCTACCTTTCTCGCCATCTGTACAACATGCGCAGAATACAGATGTCATGGTGCAATGCACTGAGTGTGAGAAATGGCGGCTTGTCTTTGCAAAAAAGAAGCTAACGAAGAGACAGAAGCAGCAGCTGACAGATCTTCTGGAAGATATGGATTACACTTGTGGTTTTCAATTTGGTGAGAATAATTTTGTGAATTAGTCAGCATGCATTTATATCTGTTTGTAACCTTTGTGATTTTATGAGGGTAGAGAAGATCATTGTTGGATCAGAGACAATATAACTGTACATATGTACTATTCCTATCGTTTTAGATGATATACTTCTTCTTCATGGGCTTCAAGTCCACATTAAAGACCATGACTGCGAAGATAACATAGAAAAGCTGTACTATGCTTGTGACTATGAACCATGCTGCATCTATTGTGGGGAATATGTTGATGATGTGGATGAAGATGATGAGATTTATCCCCAGTGCGGAAATTGTACACAAGATCCTGTCAGGAAACGAAAGTGACAGGTTATTCAAACAAAAAATGAAGTGGATGTGAACCTGATGTTAATATAAACGAGGACTTATAATATTTATAGATATTTGTTTTTGTCTTTATGCCATACATATTGTTTATGACAATATTAAATGCATTTGGTGGCACTGTTCATATTAGTTAAATGGCTTTAACACTAAATTTGTACAAAATATTTTTTTGTCAAAATTGCTCTTGTTTTTTCACCATTAAAAAATAATTATCCAAATAATGAATAATGAATATGAAATTAACCCGCATTAATTTTCAAAAATCTTCAGACGGTATTCTATGACTTTCATTCCCATGGCCTTATTAACAATTTAGCAATATTTTCTTTGGCATAATTTGGCACTTTGCTTAAATTTAAGACTATTGTAAAGCTGGGTAAATAATTATATAAAATAATATATATTAAACATCCAAATGCTTTTAAAGATATGTTTGCATTTTAATACTTCAATAAAGATTGGAATCAGAGAGGAACGACAGCATTAAATGTGCTATTTTTAGTGTATCGATAATCAATCTTTAGTGTCCTCTACTGTATTTGCATTACTCTGTCTAAATTGCAAGATGATTTTACTTGTCAAGGGGAGAGTCTTTTAATAGTGGGTTTATAAAGAGCTTCACTTGTATAAAGTGATGTTTGTAATGATAGTGCTGAGACAGTGCCCCAAATGTTGTCTTTGTATATATTTCAAGATTAATATTTGAGCTGGGCAGCGCTTGTATGTAGCCCTGGCTCCAAATATTGTTTTCAACAATCAGCAAATATAACCAGATTCACTAACAATAGTCCATAGTTTATTTAATATGTGCTTTATCACTTTATATATTAAGCATAAATATCTGTGGCACGGCATTGATAGTTTTGGATGGCCTATACTTTGCCGGATGCCAGTAACCCAATCCAGCATATCCCTACTCTCTGCCCACGGCCATGTCTCTTCTTAACATACTATACATATTACAAGATATTATTTGCACTTCACTTGTTTGGACTAGAATACTGGGTTTGGTGGATAATCCTATATATATATATATATAGACACTATTTAATTAAGACCTATAACCAGGAACGATTGCGAAAAATGTAACACTAAATCGTCGACCAGGAATTGAACCTACAGCCCTGTGCTTCCGGGGCAGCGCTCTAACCAACTGAGTTCCAGAATCGCAGGGCCATAGGTTCGATTACTGCCAGAGGACTTAGTTTTCACTTGGATTATTCACCAAACCAAGTATGTAATATTACACCCTGCATTACCTTGTACCAATATGAACCTGTAGTCTTTGTGATTCATGGTGATTATGGCAATAAACTATGGAAATTATCTTATATATAAAGGATAAATCTTATTATTTATTTTAAAAATTTCTGGTTTCTGATTGGCTAACAGCCAACTGTGAAATTGTCGTATCAACTCAGTGGCTAACCAAATATGGATTTTTCAAAATGAAAAAAATTTGGGACGTGTTTGTGACGAGAATCATATCGACTCGCTGATGCCATTGATATGATGACGATGACGGCTGCCGAAGAACTAACTAGGATTTTTTTTCTTAATACAAATAAAATACAAATGGGTTCCATTTGTTTTGATTTTTTTAAATAAATAATAAAATAAATAATTGCACAATATGAAGAATTATCAAGCCCTCAGTTTGCTGTAACAGTTATCAACCTCAGCCTTTGGTTGATAACAGCAAACTTTGGGCTTGATAATTCTTCATGTCATGCTCAACCTCATTCAATAATTGTTAAATATTAATTAAAAACTGTTTTTACATCAAGAGTTAATAGTCCCTTATAACTGACTGAGGAGTGTCTCAGTTTAGGAAGCAAGTCCATTGTTCTAGTTTTTTTTATAGGGTATAATTTACTAATTATGATTATATTTTCAAATAAATAATGTTTTCCTTTTACAGATTCCAATATGATGGATCTCTGATGGCATTTGCATGCTGTACTCGGAGCAGTATTAAATGTACATGAAGAAATCAATGGACTTGAACAAATGGTTTGTTAGATCATAATATTGATTGTGAAGTGGAAAGTGTTATAATACGGCATTGTGAGAAACTCTATTCGCCACAACACATTGCTGTGCAATCAGAACTAAACATAGTCATCTATAAGAATGACAGAAAATAAAACTTATGTAGTGCATACAGAATTTTCTATTTTTTAAATACATAATATAGGTAATATAATATAGTACAATTTTATGTCTAAAAATTTTCTAAAAGTAAGAAAATATAAGAAACATTTCTTAAACTGAGAACAATGAAAAATGTCATAAGTTAAAAAGATAAATAGCCTAAATTAGTATGTTATATGTAAATATAGCCTGTTATATTTGCCACATTTTTATCTGTAATAAATTTTTTTCACTAGTTTCTCTTTTTCCTTCACCTTGGTAAATAACTCTTTTAGGCAGTTTGATTTAGAGGATTATGCAAGAATTTCTATATGATATATAAGATATCTATGGATCCAATATGAATTTCTATGTAAATCTAAGGAATTCCTATTCCTATAGGAATTCCTATTAGATTTTGGCCCAATTTCCTATAGGATCCTATAGGAATTCCTATAGGAATTCCTATAGGATCCTATAGGAATTCCTATAGGAATTCATATAGGATCCTATAGGAATTCCTATAGGAAATTGGGCCAAAATCTAATGGGAATTCCTATAAGAATTCCTATAGGATCCTATAGGAATTCCTATAGGAATTCGTATAGGATCCTATAGGAATTCCTATAGGAAATTGGGCCAAAATCTAATAGGAATTCCTATAGGAATTCCTATAGGAATTCCTATAGGAATTCCTATAGGATTTTTTCGTAAGGGTGATTCATTTAATAATTCATATACGGGCTAATAACTGCATTGCATGCTAATTATAGTCAACTTTGCCAAACACCAGCATTTACCGTACATTACTGCAAGTCACTTACGTCTGGTGGCAAGGTGCTGCATGCTTTCGATGTGTTTTATATCCATAATGCAAACAAAGCTACTAAAGAACAATGTCGGTATCAATTACGCTGCATCTTCCAAATGTAAACTGTTTAAACAGTTCGTAGATGTAGCGAAATAATATTTATAATGCGCATGGTACTGGGTACTGTACATGAACATATAAGTTATTAAAATATGCTTATGCATGATTAATATTTGGTTAACATTTTAAAAATGTGTTTCATTGTATTTTGAAACAAGACGACTACATGTAAAACATATGCTAAAATGCTAAATATAAACGTTATTTCATCAGAAAAATTCAAATTAAGGAGAATTATACGTTTAGTTTGTACTTGCTAAATATGAATGTAGAAGATTTAAACATCTGAGATATTGAGAAATTCCACCATTCCCGTCTTCTTGCAGAGGAGGGCATTCCAAGTATAGCTGTTGGATCTGCAATCCAGTTAATATCACAGTAACTGGAGGAGCTGATATTTGGTAATCTTTGTCTTGAAGGGGTAGAAAGCCTTCTCCATCAAATCCATATAGCACCAGGTCATTAGAACCAAACACGTATTGAGTCGCTGTGTGGTCAGAATGTATAGTATTGAGCATAACAGCTGTATAAAGCTGTAATGGTGTAAGATTTCCTTCCGTAGAAACAGGATGATTGTTCCACTGTTGTTTAAGAGAAGATTTTTTACAAAATCACGTATTGGGCGCTCAAAACCAATCAGATGCTAGAATGAGAAATTGATCGAATGAATCGGGTGATAACATGGCGGCCAGTTCATATATTGTGTGAATACTTCACTGCTTGTTTTTACACGATAACAATTGGATTTTCATATAATTTTCTCAAATAACATAAGTATACTATGGAAGCGATGTGCAAAATTCATAAACAAGATGAATTCAACAGGAATCAAAGAATTACAAGCGATGCAATATTACACAAGAGTTTGGAAGGATTTGACTGTCATAGAAGCATGGTAGGTATGCGTTTATTTTCCTGATTTTTTCATATTTAACTGCCTCCGATCACAATAAATTATGCCATACAACATTCCTTTGGTATTCTAGTTTTTAAAAAATGCATCTTGATGAAAATTGGCATTGTTAGTCCGAAGTAAATACTGCTTAATTTTACTAGCGAGTCAAAATTTGAATTTCCACCAAATGGAGTCATTACAATCCGTATTTTGGTCATATCTTTCAAATTAAGTGTTCATATTGGACTGTATAACATGTACTGTTTACAATAGATGTATTTAGTGCAAAGAATTGCACCATTTCCAAAATCTAAACACTAAATTGACTTAAAAAGGTTTTTTTGTTTCTGCCTAATTAAGTTTAAATCATACACATAAGTTGTTTTAGTCTATTGCCAAACTGATGTCCAACACTTGTAAATTACCTTAGAACTGTTTCCGATCAATCTAAGATATATTCCGACATTTGCCCTAGGTATGCTAGTTTACAAAAATCATAATTTGATTAAGTTTGAGGTGGTAGGTCAAAGGTCGTTTTTCAACAATTTTAAAATCAACCAGAATTACAGTATTCACAACATGTATTTACTGAATAGCCCGGTATTGCTATCTGTTCATTGAATATAAAGTGAAATCTTATACTGTAAGCTATGTAAACATAGCTCTCAGTCCATTTTATATTTCTATGGTGATTATAGATTGTTTGAACATGTTTTGGTTCTAAAATCCATAGGTTCTCATGTAAGCTAAATTTGGCCAATATGGAGTTCATGAGTCTAAACCTTTACCTTAAGTTTAATGGTTAAAATTAACCGAGAACTGTTTCCGATCAATCTAAGATATATTCCGACATTTGCCCTAGGTATGCTAGTTTACAAAAATCATAATTTGATTAAGTTTGAGGTGGTAGGTCGTTTTTCAACATTTTCAAAATCAACCAGAATTACAGGATTCACAACATGTATCTAATGTATTTATATTAGGTACATAATAGAGATTTCAAGTCAGTGATGCTTCTTCAATTCTATTATTTTATTAAACTTGGTTAATTAAATGTCACACAAATGTGCTGTTTTAAATAAATTCTGTCCCACTCACTTTTCTTATGCTATAACAATATTACAATTATTACAATTTTCATTATTAATTTCAATAAATTATATTTTAATAAGTAAATAAATAAATAATGTACATTCCAGTACATAATCACAAACAAAGTTTTCATATAATAAAGAGAACCCTCTTTATTCATTTTAGTGTATTGGTCTTGCAGGTTAACCATAAAGACAGAATATGAAATTATCCTTAACTCGACATGCAGTCATAGTGAACTGGAAGAGAAGTGAAGAAAAGACCTACAGTACTACAGTACAACCTTTTACCTACATGTCTGGGGAAACTTTAAATTTCAATCATATGGATTGTCTCTTCTCTGCAAACATCAGTAAAAACTGTATGTTTTGACCTTGACACAGAGTAGAGACCATACAGAGACGTAACTGATCGTCATAAACACTGCGGAAGATTACATTGTTATGTAGCCACTTTTTTTAAGGCAACCAAGTGAAAAATGATCAACTGCGCATGCTCAGAAAGTTTAAAGCGAGTTGTCATCATCCACTGAAATGCATGCATCTAGTAACTTGCCGTGCATGCACACAAAAAAGTGGGTACACTAGTTACATCTCTGTATGTCTCTACTCTGTGACCTTGATCACACCTATGTTTTTTGAAACAATATATGCTTCATTTAAAGCAATATGCTTCTTACAATATTCTGTATTGTGCAGTATAATTGTCAAACTAAATTGCTGCTGTCCATTATCACAATACAGAATGCTCTGTAGTAATCAGTACAGTAAACCTGCATAAATTTAGACAGCCAGGCAACAAATGCACTTCCACAGTTCTACTTTGATATACAGTACAGTATGAATTGTATTAACGTATGTTACAACCTTTTTTACTGTTTGTTCATTTTTTAACTTTCGTTTTTCTTCTTTTGTGTGCACTCCAGTAACTCGCTATTTATTGTTCAGTTAAAGTTAGTTCCTCCCCAAGTTTCTTCTTAAGCAGTTCCCTACATTTTGAAACAGTATATCTTTTCTTCTTGTCCAATTCACCTTCTTCAAAGCATGTCACCATAATTTCTTTCTGTTCAAGGGTAAACCTTTTAGATTGTTTTGAACATTCTTTCCTTGCACTTTCCTGTAACATACTGTTAAAAAGACTTTGCCCAATTGTGTTGGTGTCATTGTGCATGTTTTTCGGTGCCTCAAGATTCCTTACTTCTTTCGCGAAGCCTAATGCGGCGTTGACCGGCAGCGATTCTCTCAGCTGTTTCTCTGTCCGGCTAGTGATTCTTGACTTAATACAAAGATTACTATTTACGTGTTTTTTCAAACAACCTATTTGCAAAAACTGCTTCCCGCACTTTGGGCATGCACTCTCTTTTTCAACCTTCTCACTATGAGCTACCATGACTTCTGTTGATTGTGTTTTTTTCCTTTGCCTTGTTTAGGAAACGGGTTGTACACCACTTTCATCTGTGTCATTAGAATCAGATGTCACTCCAGTCGAGATCGTATCCGACTTTAGGTAATTGGGCCACAGTTCGAACAATTTCTTTCTTTCAAAGCGCTTAGCCTTTCCATCACATTTACTGGTTTGCTCCCTAACATCGATTGCGATGCATTGCCTGTTATTGTAGACAAATGTAAAGTCTCCAAACATCGAAATCCCGTTCCATGTGTTTGCACTTTTCGGTTCCCTGGATCTATCAATGTGTATTTCATACACGTGCGTTCCCTTTAGGTGGTCCTTCGTTCCATTTACAATATCTTCACTGCTTAGTATATCATTTCCTTTGTTCATCCATCCTCTAAGAACAAACTTAAAAGTGGCAAAATGGGAATCTAACGATGTTTTTCCTTTTTGTGCTTCGAAAAAAGAATATCTTTCGAGTTTGATTGGGCATAGTTCTGGAAAACGCATTAGCCACAGAATTATTGACGTATTATGGTAATGAGGACCATTGTCAGGCCAGATCACGAGGGATGTTATGTCATCGTGTTTTGAAGTGAAGTTTTTGATGGTTGCTTCGAAGGCACTGGCTGTAAAATACCAGTTTTGAACACAGACGCCATTGGAAAACACATCGTGAATTTCAACTTCGATGTCTGACGACTCGGAACGCTTGTAAAAAAACATACTTCCATGTAACGATACGCCTTTCTTTGCATACCAATCTCTTTGGGGTTCTCTGAACTTCTGAAGCAGGAGTTTCATCATGTAGTCGCACACCACGAGGGTTTTCCCAGGTTTGAGCTCCTCGATTTCATGCATAAAACGCATTCTTTGATACTTTCCCCTAACAAGGTGGCCTATGTAGGAACGTAAATTTTCCTGAACTTTTCTGATCTTGTTGAGGTAGTGTATCTAGTACTATCGAGTTTGCTGGTCAGAATGGTTGCATTAATGTCATCGAATAAGTTGAATCGTTCAACACAAACTTCGCAGACCTCCCCAGTTGGACACGTTGTAGTTTTGCCTAAGAGCCAAGACATGTTATGAAAGGGACAAGCTGATTGCATGTCTAATTCATCGACGAATCTGGAAAGAAGATGTTCTTTTAACACTTTAGCCCTAGTTAAGAACTCGTCCATCGAATTGTTTTTATTACAAGCATAGTACGAAAGATTTACGGAGTTGTTGACTGGCATAAGTAAAATTGGTGAATCTTTAGATAATGGATTACACTGGCCGCCCCGTAGAAATTCTGTGTCTTTGTCTGTAAGGTCTACCATTACTACCCTCATCTTGTCTGTAATTTCATCAGAGTCGGCATACTTCTCGCAATCAATAACCACTTCTCCAATTGGCATTGCAGATATTTCTTTTTTAAGTTCTTCAATTATATCGTTTAGATCCTCCCAATTTCTTGCTCCGATCACATCACAAATATTGCAAAGTCCGACCATTTGCGCCATTTCTTTAAAGTTTCCCGCTTCCAGGCCCTGACAAAACTTTGTCTCCGATATAGGACACCGACCATTTTTACAACATTCTTCTTTGTACTTTTTATACAGATGGACTTTGTTATCCGGAGCCACATGACTGGTTGGTTCTTTTCTTCAAAAAGATTGGACAACCACGACGATTTTTTTCCTTCACAAGAAGCCATTCTATGAGAAGATTGTGTAGTGTTGTCTGGGTGATGTAGGAAGTTTACAACAAATGCAAGATCTTCAACGGGTATTCGATATCTGGTAACACGAGGCGCACTAGGTGGTGTTGCTCCAGCTCCTATAAAACTTGCATACCGTCGTGCTTCAGTAATTTTGTAGTTGGTACAGGGAAATGCTTTCTTCAATTCTTTGTTACTAAAATGATTTGCTATCGTACTGAGTAGCCTTATTCTTCCTTGGGCACCGTGATTTTCTTTGCCGTAGGTCTGGGATAAGTCCTCGATCATTGTATTCCATTTGCGAGTTTTAGTTTTTTCTTTGTGCATGTCTCGTAAGGGCATCTTCTTCATGACGTGGTCCAGTAGTTTCCTTCCGTCGCCTTGTGAGATATCGTCACATTTTTTCAATCATTTCGTTTACAACATTTTTTGCTGATGCTCGCATCTTTCTCTTAACAGCAGCGCTGGCGCTCTCATAACTCACCCGTGGTCGCCCCATTTTTGCCGATGTTTGAGAAGAGGCAAACGTTATGACACTGTTTCCAGTTTCATCTTCTACCATACAGCTTTCTTCTTGTAAACTTTTCTGTTCCTCCAAAATTTCATGGTAGCACTTTTGACATATTTTATCGTCTTCCATAATGTTTATATTTTGCAATATAACATGCTTTTTCTCTACACTTAAAGAATCAACTGGTGGAAAGTACATTTTGATATCCAGCATCCAGTTTTGATATCCAGCATCCGTGACAAACAATATAATTTTTCGTTTCCATTAAATTTTCATCGTGTATTCCAAGTTGTTTGAAGTTACTAGAAGTAATGTTTCGTGACTTTTGTTCTTTTTCAGCGGAGGGCGTTGTATTACAAAAATAACAAATTTTGCCTAATACGGTCTTAGCTTCTCTTTCACTCATTGCATAAAAATACTACAATGGGTCTGTTTCAGAGTTGTGAAGTTCTTTTGTTTGAGTAAAAGAAAAGGTGAAGTTGTAACATGCCAGCTATATAACAATATATATGCCAGGAGTTCTTCGGAAACTTCAGGAGTAGTCTCATTATAGCATTATTGTACATTGAATATCACCATTACGTTTTGCATATTTGTAGCTTTATTAAAGGTACGGTAAAGGAAAGGGAGGGGGGGGTATGCTAACAGATATTTTTTTAAATTTTTACTCTAAAACGCCATTTCCTGCATTTCTTTAAAGATAGTTTTCCACAAATATCGACTTGTAGTTTTTCTTCCATTGGAGAAGCATACAGTTCCGTAAACTATCCATAAAACAGTAACAAATGTTAAATTAACTCAACTACTTCGCTGAAAACGGCTTAGGGACGGACCATTAGAAAAGTGATGGGGGAGGGGAGGGGGGTAATTTTTTTATGTTTGCATTTTTTTCCAAGTTGTCAGCTGTGTGTGTATGTCTTCTCGCACTTTAAACAAGTCTGATGCATGTATTTTTTTCAAATCCTTTTTGTTTGCATGGATTTTGTTTCCCCACCATCCCCATCACTTTTATAATGGTCCGTCCCTTAACGAAAGTTTAAAATCAACCAAGATGGCGCCTAATGGCTCGTAGTGACGTCATGTGCAAGCAAAAAAGGAACTTTTTTCTCTTATACATCCATTCAAGCTTTGAGATCAGTGTGTGCACACGTCATCAGGTGAACAAAAAGAACAACGAATTTTCCATGTGTTCCATCAGTGTGTTCACTGTCTTGCCTCTGTGGCGTTGAAAATATTAAATTTTTACTGATCTAACATCGATTTCAAAGACTTATGGAATTGGATTGTTGATTTAAAATGAGCCAAGGTAAACTTTTGTCACTTTTAAAAACACATTTTAAAAAAATGTTTGCAAAACGATGCTCAGTCTCAGAGTCTCAGACTATATTTTCCATGCTCGTTCAAACGTGTTTGCATGATTTTTTCTACCACTAGTCTCATCAGAAAGAATATCACCCAAGTTTGATCGGCATAAGTTTATTATTTTAACAACTGATGTTTTTTTACAATAAGAAGTACGATGTAGTCCTGTATAACTATTTTAGGCTGAACAAATCAGGGCAGTATACAGCCTACTTGCCGTCCTAGAGCAAACTGCTTTTTGCAACCGCCACTGACAATAAAAATTCTCTAGAAGTACGAAAAGGACTCAAATCCTTATTTATTTTAAGTCTTAATGCAATTCGCCTCTTATCATTGCAGCTAATACAAGTCTGATTTGATTGTAGGTGTGTACCATGCCCAGTTGATCACGTGTATTCCGTAAGGATGTCCCATGTCTCTTTATTCCATTGTTGGTGTTAAATTCATACTATCACATAATTCGGGAAACGACAGTGGGGCTCCAGAGCAGTATCCGTCAATTGTTTAGACTTGCGCGGTTGCAGTGACTACGCCAAGAACTTTTCCTATGGTCTCAAAGTCTTGACCTTTCATGAAAAGTTTCACGGCCTTGATCTTTTTTGGTGATGGCTTGTTTGGTCCATATAAAGCTTTATAACTCATACACTATACAGGTGAACATAAAGGAATTAGAAATACTAAAAGTCTTCACAAATCATTCATATCATCGTGAAAGTAAGTGGAATAGTAATTGTTAATGTACTATGTAGTGTGTTTGAAAAAAATGTTTACCTCAGGCTCAGGTTTGGTCGAGGGAATTTTTTGTTTACTCATTTCCGACGCTTCTCTGCAACCGAAAAACCTTTTTGTGCATACATAAGAAAGAAATAATAGTTTGATAAGAGGCTACGTAGATGATAGGATGAATAAACTTTTGGTTCAGATAAACTTATGTGAGTTCGATGCATAAAACGGGCGTATTGACAAATTTATGGTGGAAAAGCCATTGTATTTATTTACATCACACACTACTCGTCTAAATATGTCATTTTTAACTTCAATACATACTCATCTAAATATGTTATTTTTAACTTCAATACAATCTCTTTAATCACCTCTTACGTATAAAAGGGTCTTTTTAACACTGTAACACAACGAAACTGCCAAAATTTTTGTTCGGTGTGACATTTAAACCACTCAAATTTCTGTTCTGAATTTTCCCGCCACTTCTTTAAATTTTGAATATTTATATTTTATTGTAGATTTTTAGTCAAATAATACTCTACTCTTTCATGAATACATGAGCACAAATGCATTTTATTGTCAGTGGCTATTTGCAAGTCAGTTTCCAGCACTAAAAATGTATAAACAAGATACTTTCATTAATTAAAAGACCATAGTGACCGTGAATTATTTTACTGTAATATACAACTATACATACGCATGCTGAATTGGCTTTTTAAATTACCCAAATTGCAAAATCATTCAAATATATTACGTACGAAAATTATTTATAGTTATAGTTCGTGTTTTTACTTACCTTTAAAATTGAATAACAGTTTAAAAATATAATGTTTTAATTTGCTTGGGATTTTCTGCTAGTGGAGATTTTCTCGCGCATTTAATGAAACGACTCATCCAGTCTGTCAATCAAGCTCAGTGATAAAAATGCCTGGTTACTAAGTTTTGAGCGAAAATTACGCGATTTTGTAAAAAATCTCCTCTTAAACTCATTTAAGTAACGCCTTATTCTGGGCAGATAAACATGATGTAAGGCGTAAAGGTTGACCTTATCGACTGGGTCCAGAATACCCATTTCTTCTAAATCATTGAAAAGCTTAGCATAGAAAGTCAAAACGCCAGCATAGACGTCTCTATGGATCCTCTCAATGCGGCAATTGTGGACAGAACTTCACGTAATTATACTTCCACGGGCTAAGCCACGATTTCTCAACATGTATCGAGCGACTTCGATGTTTTCCAACCCATAGTCGCTACGTACTCTTGACGGCAAACCAAAATTAGACACCCCTTGAATAAATTGTTCAACGACTGTTTGAGCGTGTTATCCGTAGCACAATATGCGTAAATTACCAACCTGGAGTAACCGTCGATGCAACAGTGAACTACTAACCTATAACGGATGAGTTTATGGTTGCCATCAATGTGCCAGAGTGAGTTTGGCGTTGGTACTGAATAGCTTCATCGGTAGATGGTACCATTCCAACGTACCATTACAACCATAAAGCCTCTTTTCTACTTGCCACATTTGTTCGACATTGTGACTAGTTAGTGATAAATTCGCTGTGAACAAGTAGAACAGATCCTACTTTTTTGCCGATAATTTTCTCCCGACCAATCACATTGCCGAATTTCTTTTCCGATATCATTTTAGTCAATTGGTGACAGTAGCTTCAGGAAAGTGCGTCGCTTTGGCCAAGGCCGGACCGTCTGGGGGGGGGGGGTGTAACACCCAAAAAAAACCTGGAAGGGGCCCAATTTTTAAACAAAAGCAATGCCAATTGTGTTAATTGCGAATTCGATATTTTATGATAAAAAATTTGTTTTAATGCAATATAATAAAATACATGACAATTTTTATAGTGGCAAGCTGGCAATTGATGTCTTGGGTCCTATCTATGACGCCATCAAAACGGATCAAACTTAACGAAGCTCGTTAGGCCTTGGGGGGCCCAAAACTCAGTAGCACCTTAAAGGGGCCCCGGAAGTTTGTTCTACACCACTCTCCCCCCCCCCCAATGGCAAACCATTTGGAACTGCCCTGGCCTTTAATCCTCGTTCTCGTTATTACAATCCTAACTTTGGGGCTTTTGCTGCGACATATTTAAAACATACAGTTTTACTTTCACAATAATTACGTCACCCGTAAAAAAGGTTGTCTTAAAGCCAAGTTTTTTATCATATGAAAGTAAGGCTCTATGGCGAAAGTGCCAGGCTCGCGCAATGATTACTGCTGCCGACCGCAGCGACGAGATAGCACACTAGTCTTGACACTATATATTGTCACGTTCTCGATTTTGCGTTAGCCATCAAAAGTTGCAGTGAGGGGTTAGATGCCCCAGGTTAGGGTTAGAGTGAGAGTGAGGGTGTTAGGGTTAGGATACAGTCGGAAATTGCGCGGCACGTACGCGTTGTGTTCACTTCGGTTGTGTTCACTTCGGTTGCGTTATCTATTATACTAAATTGAATTCTTTCATGAGCACTACATGTTCATCAAGAGCACGAACGCTGCAGAGAAGTGCTCCTTACTGGTGTTATCGGCACACAAATAGTCCAATCGGTGCCCATGCCTTTTTGGTCGTTGCTAAAAGGGATGGATCAGAGGGAGGTTTGCAAGATGGCGGCTATTTTTCAAGATCATTAAATTGCAAATGAATCAACAGAAAGGCACATACTGTATAACAACTGTATATCCTAAACATTACCCTAAACTTTACCCCTGAACCTAATCCTTACCCCCAACACTAACTCTAAACTAAAGCAAACTCCGAGTTTAAATTTTGAGCTATCTTGAACACTTCCCTATTGTCCATTCCTGTTAGCCATCACCAATGCCTTTTCCCAATTTATCTTTTAATTAAAGAGTCAAGTTTGAGGCAGCACTTTCCTTGCGATCAGAACTCCTGTATTACTGTCTTCATTACTACTTTCTAATGATTTGATAGTATTATTAATTACCTGATACTGTCGTCCAAGAGATGTGTTCGTCCAGGATATTTAACATGTTTCGTTTACGATGAATGGTGGACTCACTCCAAGTAAACAGGCTATTTTTGCCCACGAAAAGTGCAGTTCTCGTAAAAACTCGATTTGTTTGCTATTACCACTACTGGGCAACCAGGACCTCTTGGCAAGGATGAGGCTACTATGTAGCTAAATTCAATTTGGTCGTCTTGTGAAGCATCTATGCAGGTGGTCAATATCTGACACAATGTTCTTACTTTTGCCAACACTGCATCAACGGCACTCTTGAAGTTACTGAGAACAGTGCCATGAGTACTTGTTACAACATGAGCGGAAATGAGAACTAATGTGGATGTGCTCTCTTCCAGAAGTAATAAAATGTTTTCTATTTCTTCTGTTGAACTAGAAGTAACTTCTAAATTTTGAACATTGATTAAAAGTGCGCGAATGGAGTCCAGAAAAAACTATAAGTCCACGCTTATTTCATTCTCTCGCAACGGTTCTAGGCATTCCGTTTTGGTCAAATTACAGTTTATGAAAATATCACGAACTTAAATTGAAAATACAAAAAATATTGAGAATTTATATTAGGATATATTTAAAATATTATCATCTTGCAATTAGGACATATTTGAATTTATAATTAGGACATATTTCAATATTTAGTTAGCATATATTTCAGTATTGAACTGGACCGTACGAATTAAATATGAGACATATTTAAAATATTAGGATGGATATTCAAAATATTAGCATGAATATATAAAATAGAGAATGAATATTTAAAACATTAGAATATATTTATAAAAATATGTAATAAAGACTAAATCGGCGCATCATAACAGACTGCTTATAGCTGCCTTATGTAATGTTTTCTTAATTTGCATGTTTTCTTTTGGTCTTTAAAAGGTCCAGAAAGGGGCCCAGAGAATGGGGTCCAGAATGGGGTCCAGAAGGGGGTCCACGTTTTGTCAACTCCTGTATTCTCCATTAATGGTATTAGGCAGATTAACTAAAGAATAAGTACATTGAACATGTAGGTAATTGAAGCACTGCTGTGGAAATTACATGTTTCAAATCCTGAAACCTTCTGTGTAGATACCACTCTCTGTCAAGTTGTTCAAAGACAGGCAAGCACACAAAGGTTTGCTTGCAGGGCATTGCAGCAACACACAACAGATGCCAAGAAACAATGTGTTGACGTTTTTATGCATTAAAACCGAAGCAGGGTTAAAACCGCATGGGGAAGAGAGGTATATAAAATTATATTTTACCATCTGGAATGCATGCTACCTGTACATGTTGCTTTGAAAATTTTCAAAGTTCAGTTATTTTTGAAAGTAAAAATGAGACAGTCTGTCCTTTGTACTGTGAATAAATTAACCCCATATATGATCTTGACCCCATATACGATTTATGTGGACAAGAAAGAGAGATTCCAGAGGAAATAGAAGGACGACCGATTCCTTTTGTGTGAATGTTGGTAAGTTTATAGTTAAGTGTACAACGTCTCATAACTTGTGCCATGCAACAATGCAAAACCTTCTGTTTAAACTGTGACCTAAGTAAATCATAGATATGGCCAAGAGCAACATAGCTCTTCAAAGTGTGTTCACATGCCACCTCTTTCTTAATGTATTTTTGTTACGATTTTTACTCAGAAATTAATGAGATTACATTTATTTGTAGTTTAAGTGATTGATGCAGATGCAAAATGTTATTGAAATAGCCGTTGCTCTTCTCACATTTACTACATATTACTTTGTTTCACAGCACAGCTAATGATTTTGACACAAAAGAAGTGGACATATTCCCTGTCCTAGCTTTCCTGTAAACAATTTTTTGTTGTTGTTAAACCTTAATAATAATAAACTTTCATTGCAGGGCATTGCAGCCACATACCACAGATGCTGAGATACGACGCATGTTGACGTTTGTACGCACGAAAACAGAAGCATGGTTAAGAACACATGGGGAAGAGAGGTATAAAACTATATTTTACCATTTGGAATGCATGCTTCATATCAGTCACACAGTGCATGATGGTTGCTTTGGAAATTTTCAAAGTTCGGTTATTTTTTAAAGTAAAAATGAGACAGTCTGTCCTTTGTACTGTGAATAAATCAACCCCATACATATATGATCTTGATTTTGATC